GCAAGAAATTATTAAAGATTATCCGTACAAGTACACTTTGTCTCTGAAATTTCAATTCGTTCAATTGGATTGTTTCAGCCCCCATTGAAATCCCACTTAAAGGTTTTTCCTTTCTTTGGCTGCCAATCTGTTACAGCCCAAACTATAAATAGATTGACCTCAGTCAAACTACTCATAATTCAAACAGCACTTGCCACCGGCACATGCAACAATTGTCTAATTTTGTGGCTAGTATGTATACATATCTGTGATTGAATTTAATGTGGCTGCTACCGGAGTTTGCCTGGCGTTTGCCAAACGGAAAGCGGCACGTAGGAGGCAGAAGAAAATTTGCCGCCAGCTTGCACGGAAAATGTTGAAAGGAAAATACATTTTGTGGGCTGTTTGAAGGCAGTGAACGGGGAGAATATTGTGGGTGACACAAAGGACACTAGGCACTAGGCAGAATGACGTGGGCCTAGAGCCATTCAGAGTGTTCGACAGGGTGTCTGACAGTCAACAGCTTGGCACGTTTGCTGGGCCAATTTCTGCGGCTTGGCCCTGCAGTTTAGGCCAATTTGCGTCATCCACCACTCAGCAGACGACGGTACTCCCCCATACCCCATTCCGCATCCGAGTGCCAATTAGCGTAAATAACTCAATTATGCTGGGACTGCTTTCTTCTCTGGTTACTCGTACAATGCAGATGGCTCTGGCCCCTTGCATCGACACCTCTTTGATTGGCGATTATGCTAGGTGTAAGCCATCTTGGTAATTGCCTTGTCAACCCATGGGCAGGGGCAGCCCTGCCACAAACAGGGACATTGATTTTCTAGGACCTCAAGCGCTTATTGCCCTTAATTAGCTTAGCTACGGCTTTAATATCTATTGCCCATTAAATTTGTGAGCAAGAGTAATGGAAATGAATGACTTTGGTTCCGCTAATCGCACTAAAAGCTGAAAAAGAGAGACTTGAACGTTGTCTAAATGAATTTTGGTCATAGAACTCGTGGCTTTGACCACTTAAATACGTGGTTAATAGCTGCCCAGCTCTCGAATGACTCGTTAAAGCCTTTTTATTGCTCCGAGAAATCTTCTAACAATGGCCCCATAAAAGCTAGCTCCGACACCCCACGCCCCCCTCCCAAGACATCAGCTTCTATAAGGAGCTATGAAGAGCACTAAGAGCTTTGGTCCTTAGCAACGCCCACCTTTTTCCACACATGCATGGCTTTACTCCTGTTTCATTTTTCTATTTTCTTACTCTTTTCAGGTGAGTGGAGTGCTTTAGTCTATAACCGAAGAAACAGTTGTTCGCCCTTGGGCAACGGTACGTATAAGTAATTTATTCTGGATTATATATTCAAGGGGGTAAATGTACCGTGTCATGACTGAAGGTGCTGCACGATAAACATTCTATCAATTATCTTTTATCTGAAGAGGGAACTGCTCGGTCATTATCTGCATCTCACTCTCTCATTCCCGAAACATTCCTCATTTGATGGTACGGAATGTTAAGTGGCATTTGTCATCCATACTTGGTCTGTGCTCTGCCAGCATCATTTCATTTTTCCGCCATATATTATGACTAGAGTCACTCATAAAGTAATCATAAAAAATGCCGCAAATCAACACGACTGAAACACGAAGCGACGTTTTCCCTTTGGGGTTTCCTCGCAGGTGTATCGTGTGTGTTCCGGACCGTATCCCTCCGAGCATTTCGTTATGTTTTCCGTGCGCCGTGTGCTGTCTAAATATCTTTGAATTCTACGAGTATATACATACGTAAATATATACATATGTGTTATGATTATGTTGTGCCATCTGGAATGAAACAAAATGAATTTCCCCCTTCGTGTACGTGCGTGTGTGTGTGACTTCTAATTGTGTTTTATGTGTACGTACGGTTTCCTTGAATGTTTGTACCCCGCGCTCGTAAATGTCAAGGGTATATCGTGTCGGCGAAGAAACTAACACACATGTGTGTGTGTGTGCAAACTGAGAGAAGTGCATCGATCGGGATCAACTTTCGAATTTTGCTGGTGATGAAGGACAGGATTTAAAAGTGAATTAAGTATATAAACAAGGAAGCGTTCCATTGGATCCTGCGTTCCAAAATGGGTTAAATGGTTTTCAGGCTTTAAAAGAATTTAGAGCAAACAAAAAACTCGATAAACAGGTACAAGTATATTCCTTTCGAAACCACTCGAGTTTGCGGTTATCGGTTATCATAAAAATTTATTCCCAGGCTGTTTGGGGTTGTCCTCTCGTTTCATTAAATTTTCTGTAGGTGAAAGTGGATTCTTGGCTTGAATATTATTTAGCACATGTGTGTGTGTGCTCACACGGTAATGGGTTGCTCCCTAATTCGTATTTTTATTTGAATAGTGAAAGCACTTATTAATTTTCAAGCTGAAATCGCGTATGTGCTCAGCATTCAAAAATATCTTTACAGCAAATTTATGAACTTCTTTATGCAATGAACAAGTTTATTAAAAGCAACATCAACGCAATAAAGTTTTCCAAACACAAGCACTCACCCACTCATCGCCCCTCACTGAATCAATCCCCCCCCCCCCACAACAAGCATTACGCTATTCAAAACCACAAGGATAAAGCCATTCGATGCAACGTTTCTTGAGCGTACTTGCCTGCGAGCATTATATGGAGTATTACGTATACGAAACGTTGCGTCATAAGATTTCATTAAAAGATTAATGCACTTCAATGGCATTCCCAGTCACAGCAATAAGCTGCCCCACCAGCCCCATATGTCCACACCACACAAGAGCGCGCAACAAGTACTGAGCAGGAGAAATTTAAAAATAAGCTTGATTTTTAAATTAATTTACACATCTAGCGAGGTGTTCGGGGAAGGACTTGCGTGTCTTAAATTCATTAATCCAAAGTCGACAGGAACCCAGCAGGACCAGAACAGGACGACAAGTTGCGTTCCCTGAAATTGGCAATTAGGCTGGAGTACGCCCGCATATGCAGTGGCTGAAGGCCGTCGAGGTCATCTGAGGTTAACCCCCGAGCCAGCGCTCGGTGTTGCCCAGGAAGTGCGATGGGTGCCCCTAATGGGGGCGACGCACATGTTTCCTATTCGCCTTTCGCCTGGTTTATCCTTCCGCTCTCTCTTGCCGTTCCACTCTCTCTCCGCTCTCCTCTCTCTTTGCAGGCCTCTTGCATTGCTCTTCAATAGGACAAAACCACGTGTTCGTGCTGCTTATCCTTTCGACTTGTTATTCGCAAGAAATACATGGAAGGCGACCAAGCGACAGCAAGAGCAAGAGAGACAAGGCTTCCGCTAAGCTTTCACCACTGCATTGTAGTTGTTGCTTGCTGCTGGAGGAAGCTTTTTTGTAGACTTTTACTCTTAGCCATCCTGACTTTCCGACTTTGACGTCAGGTGTCTCTGTGGCGATTGCTAGCTGCCAAGTTCGAATGTAGTTCACATGTAGCAAAAATTAAGAGGAATTTAATACAAAATTATTAATTTAAAACCAATGCTGTCATTTCTTTGGCAAAGATTTTACCATAGGATATTCGGAATCCGATCAGAATGGTTAATCCTTTCTAGAGACTAGAGGATGCAGAATAAAAACAGACCTAATCTTGCGTTGAATTCCATTTATTGATTGCTAATTTTAAACAAATTGTAATTGTGAAATACATGTTTTTCCTAGTCCTCTAGGATATTATCACTATCACTGTCGAATTATTCATAGAAGGGAGAATTACCTTCGGGAAACAGCATTCTGCTGTCCATGGCTATAATAATGATGATGACATCAACAACAGGCAACAATTGAAGCTGTTGTCCACCAGGACCCCTCCCCCTATAAACAGTACTCAACAAAACAGAACAGAACATTCCATTCCCATCATCTGCCAGCATGCCCATGCCCATTGCCTTCCTCCTATATTACATCCTTTGGGCGGATAGGCAACGACAGCAACAACGATTAAGATGCAAAGTGAATATTAGTATGTTAACACACTTTTCCCCCCTGTAGAAACCAAAGTTTGCTGTCACCGGTCTCCCTTCCACTTGACTTGACTTGGGGCAGCTGCTGATGCTGCTGATGCTGTGTTGTGTGCCTGCCCCTTACTGGCATGTCTTGCCGTCTCTGGTGGCTTGAGTGCTCGGCTTGAGTGGCTATCCAGCTGCGTGCTCTTGCGGGCGACCTCTGTGCTTGGCATTCGTAATAAAATTCAGTAGAGGAGAGAGTGGAGTGGAGAAGCGAATGCTCCTCCAGCTAACCCTACGAATTGATTTATTGGCTCAGGCCCGACTAAGGCGAATATCTGTTTGTTTTTTCTACTGTTTTGTCCGCCCCCACCTGTTTCCCTTTTTTTGTTGATTCCATTCCGAGTTGGCATTTCTGACATTTACTGCTTTTTACAATTGCGGTTAAATATTCGGCTTTAATCATTCCACACCATCAGCGCATTGCGGTCGCCCCCACCTGTTGCAGCTTCGAAATTTAATTAGAGGCTCGAAAATGATTTGCGGCGTACCGCCCGCCTTGTTGTTGTCGATGACAAGTTCAAGTCCCCCTCTCTCTCACTGCACTGATTCTCTCGCTGGTTGAACTTTTTCGACTTGCGGATTGTTGGACGGGTCGCAGCCATAAATAAACGTTAATTACCCTCTGAGGTTGTCTGATATCGTCTGCCTGCCTGTGAAGTTCGGCCTCAATCAAGCGCGAATTATGTGTGAACTCTGTAGAACGACGCTGGGGCTAACAGTGCTACAAAACAGTAGTGGCTAACACTGCTAGGCTAACAGTTTCGGTTAAAGTCATATCAGGGCAGAGAAGAGTTGAGCAGAGCAGAGCAAAGCTTTGGGAGCTTTCCGCTCACAGCATATCCTCACAGCATACAATGTACATGTGTCCTGTAACATTTCTGTTTGCTGGGCGGTAGCGTTAACAGTGGCGTACTCGGCTTGGGGTCGCATTACACAATGGAGCCGCTGTCGGCTGTCAGTTTGTTTTTACACTTTGCACATGAAACATGTGATTTCCCTCGAACGCTCCTCAACAAAGCCAGAGTTTTCTTTAGCGATTTTCCCCCCCGCCCACGCCACCACAACACACACTCTAAGCAAACAAAGTGTGAACGAGACAGAGACTGTTTGTGTGTGCGTGTGTGTGTGTGAGTGTGTCAGTGTGCGTGCGTGTGCGTTCGTGAGTGTCGTCCATTCGGTCGTGTCGGTGAAATTTTCAAAGCGAGAGATTTTTGTAACGGAAATCGCTCGAGCCAAGCCGAGTGGAGCGCTAATTAAAATTGAATCAAGCGAATAGAATATGCAAAAGAGAATGAAATGCTTGGCGCAATTACGCTTGAATTTACTTAGTCGCATTGATTAGTTAATAATTAAGCGCACAGCGTCTTTCCACAGAGTAACAGTTTCCATTCGAATGTCCGCTGGTGCTGCTGGCCTATAATTTCAATAACCACAATACGCATCCATCTCCGTTGCCACATAAATCTTCGGCCAGACTACATTGTGAATTTATTTTCTCATCTGCACTGGCACACACAAAAAGTGGATGGGATAATTCCACATAAATCAATAATAAGCAGAGCGCAAATTAAATATTTAGTCTCTGAATGTGAATGGGTATAAGTGGCCATAAAATTTCCGTGCGAATTTGTTGCTGTCGTGAGTGCATAAATAAGTAAGGTGGACAGCAGCCCAGCCCTAGCTCTTCCGACTGAGCTGTTTGTGTGCAGTGTGACCAGTCAGTTGACCCGTAAGCCGTAACTTATACGTGGTACGGGACCGGGACCTGAGGACAGAACAGACTTGAATCGATGCCGACATCCGTATTCGCACCCGTGGAGCAACACTTACCAAAACCCAGCAGAAAGTTCAAAAAGTTCATCGTCAAATTTATTGCAAATGCTGCGCTCGCGCACTCCGCCGTCCTCTGGGCATCGTTGTGGCACAGGAACAAAACATTTTCCGCAATAAAAATCTACAGAAAACACCTGAAATCATAAACACTCGTGCCCCCTAACTACACACACACACACACACTCACATACTGTATCCGGCTCAGGCGTGCGGAAGAAGGCCAAAGGTACGTACGTAGATAGGTTCATAGTTGGTGTGGGGCCCGGTCCCCAGATCTCTCCGCCGTCGACTCAAGTGTGCAATCGAAAGTGAATCCACATCCGTGCCGCATCCGCTTTGGATAGACGTGGAATTGTTGTCTTAACCAATTCGCTTTTGTTTTTTCTCCTGGTACTTCCTTTGGGTTTCCTTTTCCTGTGCCGTTTTTTGTTTACTTTGTTTTCTCGACGTGGATAATTTTTTATATCAATAAAATTTTACTGGTGTGCGAGTATTTACGGGCAGTGTGTGTATATTTGGGCTTGGTCTTGCACTCAAGGATCCTCGATAGGGCGAATAGAATGCTCGTTAGAGGCACTCGAAAGGGGGATAGAAATAAAATAATATTTACCGCTGTTTATGGGGTAAAGACATAAAGGTTACAAAAAAAACTGTATTGCAGGCACATTGGTATGATCTCTTCAAGAGGGGGAACGATTATTGTCAACACTCTTAATTATTTGTTAGTTTTTTCTGAAAGCCCTGCAATTATTTGGTCCTCCTTTGACTCATTTTCTACAGGGGAACATAAGAGAGCTGAAGGCACGATTCCTCTCTGTTTGGTTAAAATATAGCTATCTAATCTACAGGTCTCTCTTCCATTTCTGTGCTAATAAGCTCAGGGATTAGTAATTGCCTTTTTCCGGTTACGGTTTAGTTAGTTCAATTCATAAATATGTGCACTGATCGAATGGAATGAATAATGTGTCTCTCACACTGGTATGGTAAACCCATATTCCACCCATATTTAAATTAAATATTCTGTTTTTAAACGCAAATATAGTGCAATTAAATAGAATTTACTTTGCATTAAAAAGTAATTTCATTTATATTCTTTTCCACTCTCGGAGCTAATTCTATTCTTAAATATTTTTTAATCTAAGTGTAAATATCAACATTGCATTCGTTTTTTGTGTGAGTGTACCATTTTAGTTTGTGGCCTGATGGATAACTAAAACCGCAACCAAGTCAATGGGGGTTTTGTTTTGTGGTTCTTGTTGCATTTGACATTATGCGCATTAAATGCGCTTGAAATGCTCCATTTCCTGCTGCTTCTTGTCCACCTCTGCTCCAGTCGGCACAGAGTGACATTGACAATGATAACGGGACCCGGGAGTAGGAGAGATAGTAGGGCAGGGCAGGGTTGAGCAGAGCCGGAAGTGTTGGTAAGGAGGCAGACAGGCAGGCAGGAGACAGGCGACAGAGGTAGAGAACTGACAAAGCGCTTTGTAAATTATTTCGTTAGGAGGGGCTTCGACTCGAGTGAGTTTTATGGGGAAAAGTAAGCAAGAGCAGAGTAACAGGAGCCGCACTAACTGCATGGCAGGACATAAACATGTGTATGAAAGTTTCCGACTTTCGTCGCCGATTCAGGCAACAAGCAGCAGTGCCGGCATGTGCACCATTTGTGTGGCATAATGTGCTCAGCATTTAATTAAATTTACAGCACACTACCGACATAATGCCACAAAAAGTAACTCGAATTTAATATTCATGCTAATTTTAATAACAAAACGCAGTTCGCGGCTGCGAGCGGCAGCATTGCGTATACGTAATTTTCACTAAGAGCAGGAATTTTGATTGGGGGTTTGAAAGCACTTTAGATTAAAATGCGATTTAAATGGAAATACTCCCTGTGGAGATCTGAAAAGATATTGCCCGGGAGCACCACTAATGTCAGCCAAGATTCAAGTTTTCAGTTCAGGTCCCAGTGCAGTCAGTGGTACATCATGAACGGAGTTCCAGCCATGCTCTGGCTGCTGCTCAGTGTAACAGTAGCTTCCGTCGACCAGCTTCAATTTCTCCATAGCACCCTAGAATCAGTGCACAAGGAAATGTTCATTTCCACGCTGCTCGTGATGCAACGTCACCAGAGACGTCTGGCCCCGGACCCACTGCAGCCATTCTATCCGCTTGCCTGGCCCACACTTCGCCTCGACAAAGGCCAAAGAGTGAAGATGGTGACCCAGTACAATCGGCAGGTACTGGCCCTGGTGTACATGGACGCTTATGAGGATACCGTGCTACTGGATGCCCTGGCTGAGATCTTAAATCACATGCGAGAGGCAAGGATTGTGGTTTGGCTGCGAGTCCCACTGAAGGAGCAGTTGCTCGCAACGATCTGTCAGCAGGCGGCTGAGCACAGGTTCCTCAATCTTCTGGTACTGGAAGGAACCTCTAGCGCCCATCGTTTGCAGCCATTCCCTCAACCGCACTTTCAATCGATTCAAAATAATGGGTCACTCAACGAGGGTGACATCTTTCCCATTCCGTGGCTGAACTTTCAGGGTAGGGTGGCCAAGACGCAACTCGACCATGTGCCACCGCGAAGCTTCTTCTGGGTAGACCCTCTCACTGGTAGCGAGAAGTACAGTGGCTTAGTCTACAGCCTGATGCTGACCTTCGCAAAGAAGCGCAACATCAGCCTGACACTGCAGCAGGGACTGTCTGTTGGCAGACAACTGACTCGGCAATCGGAGATAGTGAACAAGACACTTACAGGGGAGCTAGATCTGCCGATAACTAGCCAGTTCATCAACTTGAGACATCCCAACCAGAGTTTGACTTATGCCTTCATCGGAATAACGGCCATCTCGATTGTAGTTCCCTGCGGCAAGGAGTTGAGCATCGGTGACTTGATCGATATTCCAAAAATGATGCATACTCTGCTGGGGACCTACATCATCTTTACAGTGGTGGAGAGTCTAGTGGAAGCGATATACAATCGCTGGGCCCATGGGCGCTTCGGCTTTCGATGCTTGAATCTGCTAATCAATCTGCGGGTCTTTCGATGTATTCTAGGGATGCCCGGACATGGCCCTTTGAGGCATCGCGTAGGCACCGCCTTGGGCCAGCTGTTCGTGGCGATGTCTTTCACCGGTCTGCTCGGATCGACTTGGCTAGGAGCTCAGATGAGCACTCTCCTGACCATGAGTCCCCAGTACCGATACATCCAAAACCTCAAGCAGCTGCGCGACAGCAACCTAACCGTTGTCTTCAACGAGATGAGTCTCCAGGTGATCACCGATAAAGTGGATCCCGATTTCTTGCGCAGGCAGCTGACCAATGTCCAGGTCATGACCGGTAAAAAACAAATGGATCTGATCGCCAGCCTGAACACAAGCTACGCCTATCAGATATATTCCTCCCCCAAGGATGTTTTATGGGCTCTGCAGCAACACACAAGCCGCAAGGTTCTGTGCAAGTCCCCCCAACTGGATCTCGTCAGAGACATCTCGTACTGCATCGTCCTCCAGAAGAACTCCCTGTACGGCCTGGCAATGTCGCACTTCGTGGACTGGATATGGTCTGTTGGGCTCATTGCCCACTGGTACAAGCAAGCGGTTCGAGATATGGTCTATGCGAGCAAAGGCCCACATCACCGTGTGACACCGCAAATCAGAGTAAGACCAATAAAACTGCAATATTTCCAAGCACTGTGGACCCTGCTCGCTGTGGGCTGTGTTATATCAGTTTGCGTTTTCATTGCAGAGTTGGTAGTGGGTAAAAGAAGGGCTCGAATCGGTGGCACTCACGAATGAACGTGAGAGCAGGAATTTAAACAAAAATCGCACGTTATCCTTATTATTTCCTACACTCCAGGGTCTTTCATTTGTGAGAAAGACTCTAGTCAAGCGGAAGTTTTTTCTGCACATTAAATGTTTGGCATATACTCGTAATGGCCCCATTAAACGATTCCTAAACATGCTATCTAAATAGTAGTTGCTGCTTCTAATATTTATGTATTTCATAATTGCTTGAATAAATGCTTGCAAATGAAGTTCCAGGCAGTCTGAAGTCTGAATCATTCCTTTTCTTTAACTTATCTACATTCCCATCAAGGACAATAAAAGCTCTGCCATAAACTAGAATCAAATGACATATGTGACGATATCCCAGGCATTTCTAATGGAAATGGGGCACACAGTCAAGATGTTACGAAACTCTGACATGTGCCCTACCGGACGGGAGGCATGGGAAGAAACCATAAATACAGCATATGGGGGATGGGAGGAGTTCCCATTACATGCAACCTTGACCGCAATCAATAATTTTTGTTCGGGATTTTGGGGAGCGCGACAATTAATTATCGCATAATAAATGTATATTGATGATATTGATGAGCCAGTCGGGTCCGGCAGTCGGTTAAATGCAATTAGGGATATCGTGGATCGGCAGCGGACAGTCGAACACTCCAACAATCAATCGATTGACGTCAGTACACAAAAATTGGAATTGAAACAAACCGTTGAGTGTGACACAAGGCACACACCACCATTGAACAAAGAGACGGGCACACAGGGCGTATGCGTAGGGCCACACGTGACGTGTGTCTCCCCACGGAAGGGGTTTATGTTCTCAGCTTACTTCATGCCTCTGGATTGCGGCAACGGCAGATGACTTAACGAGGAGCGGAACAGTATCCTGTTCGGCAAAGGTTTCTTTCATGCAGGCAGCGCTCTGCTGCTTTATCATTTAATTAAAATTTAAATTGTTACCGAGGGCATAAAAATAACCTGGAAAGTAGCTGATGTCGACCTATGGTCGTTGGCCCCACTTTTTGTGAATTTTTTATATGGCCTACAATTTGCGTTTCTGCTGTTTGCATTTGTCGGATTGTTATTTGCTGATTGACACGGTGTACACTGTACACCATGTATGCGAGTGCGAGTGTGTGAGTTCTTTTGATTGTGTGCTGTGTAGAATGATCTCCCAGGGGAAGGCAGCCCACAGAAGTGGTCGCCTCGCATGTCAATTCAAAGGAGCGTGGAAATGTGCCTGTTAAATGAGTGTTAAGGCAAAGATATGGAAAAGAACCACACGAGAATCAATAGAAGGAAACATAAATAGGAGAAAATATATTCGCTTTTATTTTTGACCCTTTTCAATCGGTAGATGAAGAATAAGAGACCTTCTGGTTTCTCAAATATTTATAATTCCAATCCAGGTGATAGTTCTTTATTTCTA